GGAGGGAGGGAGAAGGAGAACGGGAGGAGAGGGAGGAGGGGGGGATGGGGTTTATTGTTGAGGGAGGTGGTTGGCGTCTGCGGAACATGGTGGTGGTGATGTGAGGTGCTGGTGCAAGTCGAGTAGGTTCCAGGGATGATGGCAACCTGGTTGGACGGAGCGATGAGAGCAGGATGATCTGCGAACTATGTGTTGATTTATATGATCACTTGGAACAGAAGAAGCAAGGAGGGACCAAAAGGCTGATGGGAAACACTGTGGCGCTTGATTTATATCTTCATTGTCCACCACATATGTCGTGCCTCTGACATCGCGGTGACACCGAAAACGACCCTGCTAACCACACAACGCTAGACACGTCTGTCAATCCTCCGATAGTTCATCCCATCATGAACGCCCAAGGAAACCCTAGAGGGATCGAATTCATGCGGTTCGTCATGCTGACCCCTGGCGGTTAACCTCGTCGTCGTCAGTTTCAGCTGCCCGCCGGGTGCCGCCAGGTGTAACACTGGCAGAGCATGAGAATCCAATCAAATCAATGGCACCTCACAACCCGGTACTTGCAGCCCTCATCAGGCCAACGAGGATGGAATTAGCAGAAGTTGTGCAACGTCAAAACGACCGGTTCCTGCCTTGCCACACCCACCCTCCAAGAGAAAAAAGAACCCGGAAATCTGGAAAGGGGTGCGTGATATGGAACCGTCATCAGCGGGTAGAAAGCCGTGGTGGTCCCCAGAAACCGTTGGAAACAAAACAAAAAAAATAGATGCCAGATGGTGTCAAAACAGATTCAACCCCACGTTGGGCCGGGGTTTATTTTCTAGTATCGATAATCGCCAACGATAAACCAATTGGAAAAAGCCGTTCGTCCCTATCTGCGGGTACGCTGAAGTGTCCGCTCGCTGCCGACTGGTCCAGCAGAATCGTCAAAGGTCCCCTACAAACCCGCGAGCCCACAAAGCTCAAGCAGAGCCAGAGGGAAGTGCATGTGAAATAAAAGCAGGAACCCCAGACTTTGAAGCGACGGGGCGGATCTATCTCCAAGACCATCATCTCCAAAACAGCAACTGCCGGCGACAACCTGGGATTTCTGTGACATCAGACTGCAAAACCTGTTCCCCAGCAAAAGACCAAACACAAAGCCGATAGGCCAGACCCTCGGGGATACCACCGGCATAGCCTGGAACAGAAAACTGTCTACCACACCGCGTGCAGACACGGCACAGCAACACCCAAACCTAAATTGTTCTTGGCGCGGGAACGTGGGCGGTTTGGTTTGTCTTTGCCATCACACGACCAACCCGTTGCTTCGAACTCGCTCTCTTTTTGCCCCTCCCTCCCTCTTCCTCACCTATAACCTCGAACCCCCATCTCAACCCTCACACCACAAACTCGGTGATGGTCTCGGGGCCAGGAAAGCTCAACCTTGGTCTCTGCTTGTAAATCGGTCTTCAACACCGACGACAAAACGCCGAGAGAAATCAGTCATGAGTACAACTACTGCCATTGATGACCCTGCGGGGCTCAAAACCACACGCCAACGCAACAACCAACCCCAACAGTCCGAGATCCCCTTGCCCTCGCCGTCCATTAGTGATGTCGACTCCGATTCGAACAAGGGCGATGACCACCGAGACGCCCATGTGAAAAAGGCATACGGCCGAACTCCAGATGGAACGGGTATGCACACTCTACTCTCTCCGTCCCAAGTCTTTCTCTCCCAGGAGGCCCAACTCCTGGACCCCTCTTCCCCTAACCTGCCCTACTGCAAGGTGCTGTAAGCTGTAAAAAAATAAAAATAGGATGCAAGTGCTAATCATGACGACCATCCGTAGTCTTCGTCGTGCCCGAGACCCATGACATGGTCTCCCAATTATTAGACCCTCGCGAACCCAAGAACCTGTCCGATTACATTGTCCTCGGTGTTCTCGCCCTGCATATTTGGCTCGCTTGGGCTGTGCCAGCGCCCTATAACAAGTACCTGCTCGGATTTGCGTTTACCTTCTGGAGACTTGCATACAATGCTGGGATCGGCTATCTGTTGACTGTTCAGTCAAAATACACTCTCCTTGTCACCTGGGCTCGTCGGTTAAGGGCTTTTGAACAACCCGCCACCAACCCGCGGCCATGGCTTTACAACCTCCTCAAGACGGAGCTCGAGACCAAGATCCCCAAGGACTACAAGATGGATGAGGCTCCGATCGAGTACAACACCTGGCTTGCTTTCCGTCGCATTGTCGATCTGATCCTGATGTGCGACTTTGTGTCGTACTGCCTGTTCGCCATTGTCTGTGCCCACACGCCTGAGGATGAGGGGTTGGGCATGCTTCTTGGCCGTTGGGTCGGGGGTATTGCGCTTGTTGGCTTCAACCTTTGGGTCAAGCTGGATGCGCACAGAGTGGTGAAGGACTATGCCTGGTACTGGGGCGGTAAGTGAACTTGCGCTTGGAAATGAGGGTTGCAGTTGGTTGCTGACTGCCTTCTAGACTTCTTCTATCTGATCGAGCAGGAACTGACTTTCGATGGCGTCTTCGAGATGGCCCCCCATCCCATGTACTCCATTGGCTACGCTGGATACTACGGCATCTCGATGATGGCTGCTAGCTACGATGTTCTCTTCATCTCTATCGCTGCCCACGCTCTCCAGTTTGTCTTCTTGGCCTTTGTCGAGAATCCTCACATCGAAAAGACCTACAACCCGCCACCCCCACGTCTCCGGGCCGAATCCGAGATTGGCAGCCAGACCGAGGCCGATGCTTTGGTCACCAAGGAGCTTAACGGGAACTCTGATATCCCCCAGCCTGTTCACAACATGATTGGAAGCTTCGATCTCTTCAGAGTGACCGACGCTTCCTCCCTCATCATTGTTGCCTGCTTCATCGCCTTGACGGTTGTCACTCCCACCACCCGCACTTACCAGACTCTGGCTGTTGTGAACGCTATCTTCTGGCGTCTCTGGTACTCTGTTGGTTTGGGCTACATCTTGAAGAAGCAATCCGAAAAGAAGATGTATACCAGGCACTTCCTCAAGTTTGGCGAGAGCACCGGCGAGGCCTGGAGACAGTGGAAGGGCCTGTACCACATCAGCATGATTCTCTGCCACGTCTCGTTCTTGACCGCCTGCTGGAAGATGTACACCTACCCTGAGGATTGGAGCTACGGTTCTGTTCTCCTGAAGCATGTGATTGGTGTCAGTCTGATTGCTCTTCAGCTTTGGACATCCTCTAGCATCTACGAGTCTCTTGGCGAGTTTGGCTGGTTCTATGGTGATTTCTTCTTCGAGAGCCCCCGCCCACCCACGTACAACTCAATCTACCGTTTCCTCAACAACCCGGAGCGTGTGCTTGGTGCTGCTGGTTTCTGGGGCTTGGCTCTCATTACCTGGAGCAAGGCTGTTTTCGTCATGGCGCTTGTCAGCCAGCTTTTGATGCTGGGATTCATTTCGTTTGTCGAGAAGCCTCACATGCAAAAGATCTACGGCCAGAACCTCCGCAAGGAGGCCGGTCTTACCAAGTTTGTCAAGAAGTCACTTCCCGCCCCTGTCAAGAGATGGCAACAGGGTGTCGACAAGGTCCTCGATGAGACCAAGCACTTTGCTGAGGACTTCATTGATGCCGCCCTTACCAGACTTTCTGCCGGCTCTTCCAACTTCGTCAAGGACACCACCGCTCTCTTCCACAAGCCCCTCCGTCTCTCTATCAACCGTATCGACCGCGATCTTGCTGGATATGACCCCAAGCACTACAAGCTTTCCGTGGAGGGCGAGCAGCTGATTGCTCCTGATGAGAAGGCTACCCGGAAGGAAAGTGCCGATGCTCGCGTCCCCAAGGATGTCAAAACCAAGGTTTTCCAGTATGGCGCTCCCATTCGTGTCAAGTGGACAGCTCCTGCCAACCACAGCAAGAAGGACTGGGTTGGTCTCTACTTGGTCACCGACAACCGCAACAGGGATTTCACTGAAGTGCCATCCCTCGGCCGCTGGATCCCCACGTGCCGCGGCCAGTACGACACCACCACTGACGAAGGCATTGTTTCGTATGATGAAAAGGTCAAGTCGGAAGGTGTTGAGGGCCCTCTTGTACAGGGCGAGATGGTATTCGAGGGTGACAAGCTTTGGTGGACACAGGGCGTGTACGAGTTCAGATACCACCACCACGGCAAGCACAACGTCATGTCGATCTCGGAGCCGTTCGAGGTCCGCATTCCGTTGGTTGTGAAGGAGGGTACCGAGCTCACCATTGAGGAAGCCGAGAACGCCCTGCTGCCTATTGTACGGAACTGCCTTGACCGCGACCCAGAAATCGCGCCAGAGACTGTTGACGAGCCATGGGGTGCTCATGTTGAACGGGATGGCAAGTATGCCGAGAGAGTGGTGTATGCCATTCGTGAGATGTTTGCCATTGAGTTCTCGCCGGCGGTGGTGCCAGCAGATGGGAACGTCAAGAAGTTGGCGTGGAGGGTGGTTAACGGAAGAATTGCTCTTGTAAGCTTCTTTTCTTCAATTGGTCAAGCAGTGCCAGCTTGCTAACGACACTTCAACAGGCGCCATATAGTATGTCATTACAATCAAGAAGACCGCCAACACCCGTTGCCGACAGTTACAAATAAACGGGATGTTATGGTGGGAGCAGAGGATGAAACGGGTTGCACATGATGGACTTTTCTCTCTCTTCATTTTGCATGACTGGAAGAAGGGGGTTGTGATTAGACAAATTACTATCTAGATGCATGAGATACCACGGGTGTTGGGCGGTTGTTTGCACCAAAAATTGGCGTTGTTTTTGGGCTTGGGGGGGCGTGTGAAGATAGTCATGGCAGGTTACGTAAAGCTGCTCATGAATGCAGAGGAGGATGAGGGGAGAGTGAGATGAATATGCGAGATTGGATTCGGAAGGGAAATTATTAGGTAGAGCGTGGAAAACAATATGGTAGATTTGCCAGCAACGGTGTACCTTATATCATCACAATATTGCGATGGCATTTGAGGGGCTTTGTAACTCACGGTTCTGGCCAGAACCGTTGGTTTAGAGATGAGGCCTTGTGGTGATGAATACTGCTAGCAATTATGGCCAGTCAAGAACAAGTTTCATGGGCTGAACAGGAACCCACTCATTGAACGGAACGATTGCCTCCAAGCGATCCAACTTTGGGGGTGGTGTATGGATGGTAGGTATGTATATCTTACCGATCTGGTAAGTTGTCTTTCCAGTGTTTGTAAAGATGACATCCCTTTTGACTTGATCCGTTCTTTCTTGGTACGGGTATGGAGCCAAAGTTCTGTGCGTTAATGATACTCTCCAAGCTTCCCCATAAAAACCCACAGACATTCTTTTACGGGAAGATCAGGATCTGGGGGTTGTGGAATGCTACGTGATGATGATGGACCCTGAAAGATATGGACCCTGAAGATCGTTGATTGACAGACATGTTCTGTACCTCCCTTGCTTCACATTTTGACGGAATTATAGATCTGCAGAGAACTTTCGGCTAGAGGGTTGAAACGGACATGGTGAGATTATGGAGTGTACGGGTATGCATGTTGTGCAGGTGAGGCGAGACGGCTCGCCTAGAGGGAGGTATGGGGCTTATTTATAGAGTGAAGTTGAGGGGCAGAAGGGCATACATGAGATTTGGGGGCTTCAACCGGTTGTTGTGGTGATTCGTTGATGCACCATGAAAGGTGTCGCAGCAACTCGAGGGTTCAGAATTGTTGATTGGGTGAGTGATGAGTAACTGGTAACAGCACCCTCACATCCCCAAATCTACTCACGTCCCTGCAATCTTATGCCCATGTTGTAGATATCGCATGTACCTGATGCTCACATTGTAGCCCACAAGACGACGTCCTCGAGGCTGAGACTATGATCGTATCAAGATCACCACAAAGGTGCGTTAGTACATGCCCCTGGGCAAATAAATGCGGGGGAAAAAGGGCCAGGAACTAGGTCCGGGGGTGTACGGGTAGTCAATGTTTCACAAACGGCTCACGTCTCATGTAATTTCCGCATATAGTGTTATACATAAATAGTCTTGCAAATTGACCAAACCATCGACAATAGAACGTCCCGCTATTTTGGTGTTTATGTGGTTCTATCATATGCGAATGACTGATCTCGGGGTTGAAAGTCGTCCCTTTTTCGTTGCTCAAGTGGGGAAACAATGCAGGGACAGGGGTTGAGATTCTGAAACGCCAAGGAACCAACGGGATGTAATGGTTTCTGGGGGTGGGATTTCAAGATCAATCGCATATCGAGCTGGTTTGCAGATCTTCAGGGTTGCTAGTGCGAAAGTTGTAACCAAAACACTACGACGACGAGATATTATGATGGATGGGGAGATCACACCGAAAGGAAGGATATGAAGGAACGTCCAGGGACCTTCTTACTGTGATTAGAGGCTCGCTCATCGACTTGAAACATGCATCGTGGTGGAAGCGGCAGCGAATGTGTAACCCGTGCCCTATTTTGTGTCGGTACCTTGATTCGGCGAATTACACCAGGGCGGCAGTTCCATCTTTGGCCAGACGATATTGGCTGTATCCGAATGTTTGTATGGTGCGGTAAGTAAGGATGACGACGTGGTGTGTGTGTGCGAGGTGAGCCGGACGTTGAGCGTGGTGAGCGGATTGGTCTGCTGGGTGTTGTGCAACGTCCGAAGAAGCCTGCGTTGCTGTTTATATATCTCAAGATGGGATGTCGTTGCTGATCCCAGCCGACAGCAGCCGCCGACAAGCAACCGCGCCGCCGACCATCAGACGTTTAATTCTCGTTCTTAGTTTGTCGGTGTGGTATCGCAATGGAAATGCTGGCCAGAGGCACAATCCATCAGATGGGAAACACACTGTTCACCCAGGCCCGCCGTCGTCGTCTATTGATCCCACTGGACAAGCAACCTAGACATGGTCAGCAAATGTGGCTGAATAGAACGCAGTGCTGGAACATGGAAGCGTTGCAGTCAAGGCGGCTGGCTCGGGCCCCATATGCAAATATCCTTCTTGCAGGCCATCTGCCGGTGCCGCCAACAGCGTTGCCAGCAACAAAAGCACCAGGACTTGCTGTCCGTCAGCCCTCCCAGGAACTCGGGTGTGCAACATCACGTCTGCGTGCTCGTGGCACGGCATCAAGCACATCCAGTAAACTAGATGTCTTCATCACCGGTCAACCCCAGCCTGGCCCTATTGTCGGCGGGTACGGTGTTGTATGCTGTAAACCATGGCTGTCGATTCGTCCAAAGCTGTGAGGAGAAAACAGCCTGGCCACTGACATAAAACCTTTCGGAAAGGATTCGGGCTGCTCTGCCGAAGTCGCGAGAGGTGAGGGTTGGACAAACAAGCTCAGATGGCGGGGCAAGGATGGAAGAACAGTGATTAGCTACGCAGAAAGCCGAAATGAATACATATGCATGTTGAGGGAGAGAGAGAGAGAGAGAGAGAGAGATGTTCTTGACATAGGTACTAGATATGGTGAAGTCGGATGGATTGTAGCCAAGACGTAATTGGTTCCCATATGACCCCTGTAGGCTGCCCCTGACCTCCACTAAACCCTCCCACTAAACCCCTGGGGCTTGGCCCGTTCTCAACAGGGTCATCACTTTCCATCACAACTGCTGCCATTTCCTTGAGCTCTCCCTCTCCCATTTCCAGCTGCTGGAGCATGCCCTGGCCGGCGGTTGCGACAATTGTGTCCAGTTTGTGCTTCGTGCTCACCCCCCTCCTCTCACCGCGCTTTTGCTCGCTCAGACGCTCTCTATCATCGCAGCCATCCCACAGCCAGCCATTTCTCAGCTGTCCTGCACCTCACCTGCACCCATCTGCAAACTGCCAGACCTACCAATTGCTCCACTTCCCCTGCAACGGGCGCACTTGTCCAGGACCTGGCGACTCTCCGTGCCCGCACTTCTCCGCCGAGAGCGACAAGTCAGCCCGACGCTCCCATCTTTCCATCGCCGTCGCCCCTCTCCGAGCCTCTCTGGACTCGTCCGTTCTTGTCTAAGTAATCCTTCTCTCCACCGACCGACTGTTGCCTGTCGCCGGTGCCATCCTCGGCATTGACACTGTGCCCTCGGTCTGCCGGCACGAACCGTCGATCCTCACGTCCAACAAATAATTCTCAACGCTCGACGACCCTTTCACGGCGGTCTACGAATATATACTCACGAACGAACAACGGGCCGGCCTTTGCCTTTGTTGACCCCTCCACACTCCCGCCTCGGCCGTTGCAAGAAAACACCATCGGACAGATACTCCTTTTTTCTTCTTTCTTTTTTGATTTGTTTTTTGGATTGTGACAAGTGATCCTGTTTATGCGATACTAGGGTGCTGTTGGCTGCCATCCCACCGCTCTGCCTTGATCGTACTTGATGCTGGATCCTCCATCACCTCGGGCCACCACCGAGAGAACGCAACAAAACAAGAGAAACCATATATAACATAGCCATGGATGACTACCTGGATAGCCCCATGGAGACGGAGGATGTCTTCCCCTGCAAAGGGTGCGGAGAGGTAGGTTTCGCCTCCGCCTTGAAATCAGAGTCTTGGCCACGTCTAATACATGATAGATCCTCGAGGAGGGCAAAGCCTTTGAATTGGGTATGATGTTCCAACTCTATAAAGGGGCTCGGATGGTGCTGACACTTTGCGCTACAGCTGGAAACCGATGGCATCTTGACTGCTTTCGTTGCAACACATGTAACACGCTACTCGACTCGGATGCGAACCTGCTCCTGCTTGGAGATGGTTCCCTCATCTGCAACAACTGCACCTACAGCTGCAGCGCTTGCAATAATAAGATTGAAGACCTTGCCATCCTAACCGGAGACCAGGCCTTTTGTGCAAGCTGCTTCCGCTGCAGGAACTGCAAGAGGAAGATCGAGAACCTGCGATATGCCCGCACATCACACGGCATCTTTTGCATGAACTGCCACGAGTCCCTCATGGCAAGACGACGCAAGAAATCAAAAGCAGCAGCTCAAGCAAAACAACGAGAAAAGGATGCGTCGCCCATGATCACAGACAAGTCCCTGCCCGCCTTGCCGCCAAACGCCGTCCCTCCTATAGCGTTCTCGGGCGATAGGGCAACCCCCGACTCCGACACGCCTACCGAGTTGTCGCCGCGTCCTCGCAATGCATATGGCGGCATCAACGAGTCGTCTTCGCGCAGCGTCTCGAGGAACGAGCTTTCTCCCGAACGAACCCAAGACTCTTCGAAAGAGCCATCGCTTGCGCCACCTCAGCAAAACTATCGGAACAACCGAAACTCGACCATTCTTTCTGGCGATATGAACATCGGAGATGGCGAAGGATTCTTCATCCCGGTAGCGCTGGATCCCAGCCCTGCCCCTTCACTGACGCCACAGTCCATGTCCGATACTTTTACCGACTCGAGCAGGAGGAAACAGGAGAGAGATTACTTCAGTGCACCGAAGCCAAGTCCATCCCAGGACAAGAGATCGGAATCCGCAGCATCCACGCCCCATATCGCTTTCCAAGAAAAAGGCAGACAACCGTCGTCCGACTATGAAGTACCACAATACGAAAGACCAGCGAGGAAGCTTTCGAAGCGGAACGGCAAACCCCAGACATCGCCAGGAATTGGCGAGGAAAGGAGGCCTTCGAATGGGAGGACACCCACAAACGATGAGTTCAAACTGCAGGACGCCCCCAAGAGCAAAAAGCTTGTCAACTCCAGGAGTAATTCTTTGTCGGGTGGTTCTATCGACGCTTCAGCTCCTACAAGACCACCGCCAGCACCGTCCAGAAACAAGGAACCGCTTTCAAACACTGCCAGCAACAACTCGCCGTCTCCTTCGAATTTGTCCGAAAGAGTTACGCCTCCCCGAGCTTCTCAGGACTCCCGGTTGAGGGACGAAGATGCTATCCGGCCATCGATAGATTCACTGTCCAACAGGTCGGATCTTTCTGGGCCCAAGCCGGTAGCGCGCAAAGAAGTACCACAGCCACCACCTCGGAATGGCGAGCTACAAGTTCGTCCAGCGGCTCCCGAACAAAAACTAAGCGACACCTACATGCAACCACGGGCAGCTCCACCGCCGCCGCCGTCACAGGCTGGGCAACGAACACCTAGGGGATCTGTGAGCTCAGTGAATGAGGAAGGGAAGGTATCACCCAAGTTGCCGCGGTGGAGTGCTGGTGGCGACTTCAGCATGGATGAGGACATGGCTAGAATTCTTGGTACCGACGAGGGCTCTTCATCTATACTGCGCCGTGTGTCCAATGCCGTTCGTCACGGGCGACATAATAGTGCCGAAACCGCTACCCACCAGACGAGGGTCGGTCACAGCAGGAGCGTCAGCGAGACGACTCGAGGCACCACTTCGCCCCGTTGGCCTAGAACGCCAATTGCTGAAGACCCAACGAACGGTGGCCATGTTCCCGACATCAGCAGCCCGATCTCGCTCTCCGGAGCTGCCCATGATGATCCAATGTTCCTGAAGCGGCAGCTCAGAAACTCGGAGCAGCGCGTTGCAGAACTCGAGCGACAGTTCAACACCGAGAAGGATCTCAAGAACTTAAACAAGAAACTTGTGGAAAAGAGAAAGACTGTGTCTGTCCTTGATACCCAGACAGAGATTATGATCCGGCAGCTTGAGGTTTTGGCCGGTTATGTGGAGCGGGCAAAGAAGACGAGCGAACCCCTGGATCCCCGGGAGCTGGAGGAGTCTGCCATCAAAGACTTTGTGCAAAAGCTGGAGAAGGTCAAGCAAAACATGACGGCAGCGATCGAGCAACTCCACGCTGAGCGGGATGACCTGCTCGAGGAAAGGAATCAAGCCATTGCCGACCGCGACCGCGCCCTTCTCGAGTTTGAGCAGCTTTCGTCCAAGAATGCGCAGTTGGCTGATCTGAACAACGATCTTACACACCAAATACAAGAGAGGTTCAAGCAGCAGATCAATAATGGTGATCTCAAGATGCCTCCAAATGGTCTTGGCATCTACAGCCATTCCAAGGGCTCGTCCTCGGTCAACTTGGATACCGCCAGCATGCAGACTGGAACCACCCTCATGGGCACTGATGCTGAAGAGCCCATCCTCGAGGGCCCAACAGTGGTGAATATTCGCAAGGGTCAAGTCAAAAAGTTCAACTGGAAAAAGGGGTCAAGCAAGGTTGCGCACAACATCACGAAGGGCATCAACCGTGCGGCAGGTGCCTTCCAGGCACAAGAAGGCAATCCTCGCATTGGCGCCCCTCAGACGCTGAACAGCGACAGCATTGGCATCCCGTACAACATGACGGTCGCTCAGGTCGAGTCACCAGTCACCACGATCCCACCTCCACCGCCACCTATGGGCGTGAACAGAGTCAACACCGACCAGCGTCAAGGTTTTGGCTTCTTTGGCAAGAAGCAGCAACAGCAGGCAATGACCAAGTCCCAGTCCATGAACAATGTCCCAGCACCGGCAGCAGCCGAAGCACCAAGCACGTTGTTCGGATCGGAACTGGTCGAGAGGGCGGATTATGAACGCCGTCAGATACCCAACGTCGTCACGCGCTGCATTGAGGAGGTGGAGCTGCGGGGTATGGACATTGAGGGTATCTACCGGAAAACGGGCGGCAACTCGCAGGTCAAGATGATACAGGAAGGGTTTGACAAGAATGGGGACTTTGACATTTCGGATCCCGACTTGGACATTACGGCTGTGACGAGCGTGCTGAAACAGTATTTCCGGAAGTTGCCGACGCCGCTGTTGACGTTTGATGTTTATGAGAGGATTTTGGAGAGCAACAGTAAGTTTTTTCTTGGGCTCCTTACAGGGAGAGGTAAATGTTGACAGTGGGGAAAGCAATCCAAGACGAGAGCGAGAGGTGCGCGCACATGAGGAGGACGATTAATACGCTGCCGCCAAAGCATCGGGACTGTCTGGAGTTTTTGATGTTTCATCTTGCTAGGGTGGCCAGTAGGGAGAGGGAGAATTTGGTATGTCATTATTCTTGGTTTGTTTGCTTGAATGTGATGGCTGACGGAGAATGTGTAGATGTCCCCCAAGAACTTGGCCGTGGTGTTTGCGCCGACGATTATGAGGGATCACAGTTTGGAGAAGGAGATGACGGACATGCATGTCAAGAATTTGGCGGTGCAGTTTTTGATTGAGAATAGTCATGTTATTTTTGGAGAGGCTTGAGTGGGTGGGTGGTGAGAGGGGAAAAGGGAGAGGTGGTGGTGGGTTTGTTCTTATTTAGCGACAAGGGAAGGAAGGGTGTTTGAAGTAGTGTTGTTACTATTGATTTTTATTTTTTTTACTTGATCCTACAGAGCCCCCCAGAAAAGGGGGGGGGAGTGTTATGAGGAGTTTGTACATAAGCCGGCCCCTGCTTTGAGTCTGAGGGAAAGACGGGTGGGGGGGGGGGTGTTTCTTTCAATTTTTCTTGAGTCTTTTTTTATTCTAGGACGTTTTTTTTAATGAGTTTCTCAGCCGGCATGGCGAGCAGCACTACTTGATTAGCAGGCATGAGCATTGCGAGAGGCGTGGTTTGGGGTATCTAGGGGAGGGAAATATCACGTTAAATTTCATGGTCAACATGATCGTATCTCGAGAGTGACTTTGTCAACGTGCTCATGAATGCTGAGCGATATCAAATGGAATCAATAAACCATATATATATAACTACACACTTTCCCCCTCCAAGAAAGGGGCTTCGGTACAACAAAGGGGGTAGACATTCAAAGCAAACATGTAAAAATAAAATAAAATTCTCCTCCCCCTTCGCCTTTTCCCTCTCTCAGCCTTGCTAATAATATTGTCCCCCTCCCTCATCACAATGTGTGTAGGTGGCCAATCTTGTTGAGCCCCTCCAATTCATTCCCCCTCCCTTCCTCCCTCATACAAGTTCAAATTCTTAGGTAAACAATAGTCCATTAATGCAGGAACTTTTTGTGTCCTCTCCCTTCCCCCCCAGTCACTCCCTCCCATTTTCGGAAAACAGGCTTGTAGGTGAACAGGTTCTAGAAAAGTTCGTGCGTAGGTGTTTGTGAGTAGCGCGTCCGTGTCGTGTCGTTATAATAGCCTATTTCGCTCCTGGCTCAAGTAGAATGTTGCCCAAGTCCCTCAGAAAATCCCAGACGCGATTGAAAGTGAAGAAAAAGAAAATGAAATCGCGATAACGCCGTCGAAAAGATCATATATGCAGCCTTTGCGTTCCTCATAACAAGCGAAAAACCCAAGCCAGAGAAAACATCAATTAAGTGAAATTAGAAGGTGTCCTGTCCTTGCCGAAAGAAACTGGGGACAAAGCTGTAAGATGACACACTGGGTCGTCGAGACCTAGCGGAATTCCATGCTTGGGAAAAGCTTCCGACTCAGCTTGTTGATGTGGAATTCGTACACGCCACTCTCGGCGCCGACGAACCTGTTGACAGACAGTCAGCATGAAGCCATAACAAGACACCCGAAAAGCACAACTTACAAGACCTCACCGTCCTCGCTCCACGACAAGCCAGCTGTGTCATAGGGTTCCGGTCGGATATGGGACGGCACAATGGACCCAAACATGCGCCTCGTCGGGCTCTCCTCCAGCTCTCGCATCAGGTACGCTGCTCTAATACGCCGTTGCAGGTCAGTAAACGGGGCATCCTCAGAAGAGCTTGTGGTAGGGACATCCGCTGCGGTGAGCAGAGAAACAACAAGTTGGGGTGAGGGGCCGCCGTACAATGCCTCCACGTTGTCCCATCTGCTCGCAGAGGAAGCCGGGCTCGCGTTGGCCATCAGCCGCGCCACCAGCGCCCGCCGATCCGAAGTATCAATTCGAGAACCTGAAACAGGAGGACGCGACGAAAGGGGTGCTGCATACCGCCGTCTCTCTGCAATAAAGCTGCCGCCGGTGGCAGCAGCAGCAGTGTTGCTGGTACTGCTGTAACCTTCCCGCGCCGTGCGTGTCTGTTCCTCGCGCATGCGCAGGTTGTCGCGAAGCCGTTCCCTCTGGTCGCGAACGTTCCCAAGGAGATCGTCAACGGCACGAGAAACGCTCGCGCTACGGTCTCGTGTTCTCGCGGCACCAGGAGTCAAGGATGATCGTGAGCCTCGCTCAGCCCATGGGGATCTGCTGGTACCCGCTCCGTTTCCCGCTCCGCTCCCAGCACCAGTACCAGTCCCCGTCCCCGTCCCCGATCCGCTACCGGTACCGCTTTCGTTGGCACCGCCGCTGTTCGATGTTGCCCTCGGAAAACTGGTCGACGACCCCCACCGTTCAGAGGCCCGCCGGCCACCCTCCACTGCTTCTAGGGCCACCATCTCACGCCTTCGGCTACCTTGAATGGCTTCCAGAACAACCGTCTCTTCAGGTGTTAGTGGTATGTTGTATCTCTCCAATGCTTCTCGTACATCTGGTCTCCGGCCCTGCCGCTCGCCAGCCAAGTCCAGGGTGCTGGAAAAGTTAGAAAGGATGTCACCTCTCTCACGCCGGAATTCCTCAATCAGACGAGGGTCAATAGTGTCTCGGTCCACCACCGGCAAGTGCTCAAAGTCATCGTCCTGGTCCAGGTACAGAATCTGCCTCTTGTCAAACCCGGTACGAATGTCTGCGATGCCTACCCTGCCCCGGTCCTCGGTCCAAGCCAGCAGATCGATAGGGCCTGGCGCAAAGGCCATATCACGCACGGCACCAAAGTCCTGGTTTGGTCGTGACGTGGTAAAAACAGCGCATACGGGATCGGCGGTTGCTACGTCGAGTGCCGCCACATCGAATACTGAGATGGTTCCGTACTGGGTTCCCACCGCAAGGTATCTACCAGTACTCGAGAAACACAGCGCAAAACTGCCCCTGTTGTTCTGTTAGTACACACTCAAAGGCTCATGAATAAGGTTGGGTCTCGACCTGTTGTCTGATCGGTCATCCTTGCTCTGGCTCTCCAACTGGATCTTTCTACATGGTGTCCACTCGTACAGCGGCTGGCCCGAAATGGAGAAGGAGATGCCTGCGGCTTGTGACTTCTTCAACCTCCTCTTGTGGATATAAAGATAGGGGTCGTCGCTAATGGCACACAGAAGCTGTCCGTCCGGGGAAATGACGGCGCGGTTCATAAAGTCGGGGTACTTGATTTCGTCGAGTGTCTCCATGTTACACAGACTGGCAACAATAACGGTGCTATCGTTGTTGGCCAGAACGGCAACGCCCTCGTCGTAAGCCCCCTTGCATGGCTTTTGCAATGTAGGTGTGAACCATAGAGTGATGCAGTTCACCCTATCTTTGCCACAATGCCTGCTCCGAGCCACTGAATTTTTGCCAGCATTCGCTCGGGTTGATCGGGACATGTCCAGCGGCATCCCAGCAGCTCGGTCGCGCAGATGTAGTTCGAGGAGTGTTTCGATATCGTCTTCGGCGCAAGGCTCGTCGACCCGGAAGGCACTGAAGGCGCCCTTCTCGCCTCCACAGCAGATCCAGCCATTGCGCGCTACCAGACACCTAGGTGGGAACGACAACCGTTTGACCGTCTCGGATTCGCCAGTCGTGGTGTTTAATCGTTGAACTGTTATGTGCCGCTCCCCCGCCACCAGCGGAAAGAAGACGGCATCTTGACCATGGACTCCAATGAGGGATCGCAATTGCCAATGCCTAGGATGTGCACAGTTGTATTAGACAGGTAGGACAAGGGCTGCTTGGAAAAAGACATTTGACATACTGCCACCGAACTGCAGTTCGATAGTGTCGTCGGGGCTTTGCTTGGATAAGATGCTCGGTGGAGTTGTAACTGCGGTTGCAGCCATCAGGTTAGCCATCGTCAAGCGCATTGTAGGTGTGTATTGGAGTTTGCCCTTACCCGTCGCGAGTGACAGCCATGGTTGCCGATGTCTTGGCGAGGATGTGCTACGGTGATGCGAACCATCAAATGGGGTGGTGGGCGATTTGGAAAAGCAAAGCAAAAGCAAGTGTCGCTGGCGATAATGGACAAGGTTGGGAGAGGCCTCTCAGACGACAGTCGTCATTGTCGAGAAGGCGGAGTAATTGCTTGGGTACGAGGTGGCTCGAGTGGTAAAAAGGCAAAGTTGAGAGGTCGAGGTCTGAACTGCTTGCAAGCTTAATGTTGCGTGCCGCTTGCTGCTGGTGCTGCTGCTTGTGCCTGTTGCTGCGTCGCGTAAAGTATAAAGGCCCCTCGCCACAATAGGTACAACTGACTGGAAGAAAGGCAAGCCCCACAAAGATGAGGGACGGCTGGCTGGGCTGGTCTTGGAGGACAGACAATAGGTATTAATAATAATGATGAGAAGAAGATATACAACTATGGCTTCTTCAAATACAGAGTACTAATATTCTTTGGTTGCTGGCAAAAGCCCGCAATCACCGTTCACAGGGCCAAGTACAACTGTGACGCAATCACCACCTTGGATGGTCTCCAACTGAAACGCTGCCGACAAAACAATTGATTGCGGGCTCGGACCAACAGCAGACGAAACCTCGGGGCTGCGATTGATTCTCCACCGTTCTCCCGACTGCCGTGGACAAGGCTCCATTGCGGGTGAGCGGCTTCGGAAGGTGGCCCCAGTCAGCCCGGCCCTGATCGTGAAAAGCGAGCGCCGTGCCGAAAAACAGATGGGTATCACCGGTATCACCGGACCTTGTCCGCAACAGCTTGCTTCTCCTCCACACTGAAACTGAGAAACTGAGAGGGTAATCTCCAGCACCGGGATGGCAATCACGGCAGTTTCATATACCAACGAAAACAAAAAAAAACAAAAAAAAAGTTCTGCGTCAAATGACTTGAAGAATAATTACACAATGGCTCGTCACGTGTCTCGCCGCCTGGTCCTCGTCTCCCCGGCTTTACGCGGGGGCATTTTCTCTGGAAATGGTCCGTGCTTTGTGGGTCCACCCGCTAGGCCGTGGGCGCTCTGCGAAATTTCCAACGCCTTCCAAGGTTCGATGACCGTGCTGCTCGAATTTTTTTGCCCAGTACAAAAGACCTTGCCTTGCCTTGCCGTCTTTTTTCCCTCCTCCTTGTTCCCCATCACCAATCCATACCCTCCCCCGCCGTCTGGTTTTTGCTTTCTGTTTCCTTCCCATCCCGTTCTCACAGGTTGTTTTGAATTGGATTCCTCAAGATGATGTCCACTCGTCTTTCCCGCGCTGTAAGTAACCCCGCATCATCCGGATATCTGCTCATCGCAAAGCTCCAAACTGCTTCCCAAGAGCTCGAACCGCCCGCGCCAGACCACGAATTGTGCTGACCAGCCATGAATACAGCTTCCCAGAGCTTCCACAGTAGCTGCCCGTGCGGGTATGCTCAGGAGGACACCCGCCTTTGCCCAGAGGCGGTACGAGTCCACAGAGGAGAAGGTCAAGGGTGCCGTCATCGGTATCGATCTTGGTGAGTTTTTTCTCCTCCCCGACGGCTACGTCAGCAAACGGTCATGGATGCTAACAATGCGACTCTCTAGGCACAACAAACTCTGCTGTCGCCATCATGGAGGGCAAGACCCCCAAGATCATTGAGAACTCAGAAGGTGCCCGCACCACCCCATCAGTCGTTGCCTTCGCCGAGGATGGCGAGCGCCTCGTTGGTGTGGCGGCCAAGCGCCAGGCCGTTGTCAACCCAGAGAACACCCTCTTCGCCACCAAGCGGTTAATTGGTCGCAAGTTCACCGACGCCGAGGTTCAGAGAGATATTAAGGAGGTCCCATACAAGATCGTCCAGCACACCAACGGTGACGCCTGGGTTGAGGCTCGTGGCCAGAAGTACTCGCCATCTCAGATTGGTGGCTTTGTCCTCAACAAGATGAAGGAAACCGCCGAGGCCTACCTCAGCAAGCCCGTCAAGAACGCCGTTGTTACCGTCCCCGCTTACTTCAACGACTCCCAGCGTCAGGCCACCAAGGATGCTGGTCAGATTGCCGGCCTCAACGTTCTCCGTGTCGTCAACGAGCCCACTGCCGCTGCTCTCGCCTACGGTCTTGAGAAGGAGGCTGACCGCGTTGTCGCTGTCTACGATCTTGGCGGTGGTACTTTCGATATCTCCGTTCTCGAGATCCAGAACGGTGTCTTCGAGGTCAAGTCCACCAACGGTGACACCCATCTTGGTGGTGAGGATTTTGATATCTCTCTCGTCCGCCACATCGTTCAACAGTTCAAGAAGGACTCCAACATTGATCTCACCGGTGACCGCATGGCCATCCAGAGAATCCGCGAGGCCGCTGAGAAGGCCAAGATCGAGCTTTCTTCTTCCCTCCAGACCGACATCAACCTTCCCTTCATCACTGCTGATGCCTCCGGTCCCAAGCACATCAACATCAAGCTTTCCCGTGCTCAGCTCGAGTCCATGATGGATCCCCTTATCAAGCGCACCGTTGAGCCTGTCCGCAAGGCTCTCAAGGATGCCAACCTCCAGGCCAAGGACATCCAGGAGGTTATCCTCGTCGGTGGTATGACCCGCATGCCCAAGGTTGCCGAGTCCGTCAAGAGCATCTTCGGCCGTGACCCTGCCAAGTCCGTCAACCCCGATGAGGCTGTCGCCATTGGTGCCGCCGTCCAGGGTGCCGTTCTCTCCGGTGAGGTCAAGGACCTCCTCCTTCTCGATGTCACTCCCCTCTCCCTCGGTATCGAGACCCTCGGCGGTGTCTTCACCCGTTTGATCAACCGCAACACCACCATCCCCACCAAGAAGTCTCAGGTCTTCTCCACTGCCGCTGATTTCCAGACTGCCGTCGAGATCAAGGTCTACCAGGGTGAGCGTGAGCTTGTCCGTGACAACAAGCTCCTCGGCAACTTCCAGCTTGTCGGCATCCCCCCTGCCCACCGTGGTGTCCCCCAGATCGAGGTTACCTTCGACATTGACGCCGACTCCATCGTCCACGTCCACGCCAAGGACAAGTCCACCAACAAGGACCAGTCCATCACCATTGCCTCCGGCTCTGGTCTCTCCGACTCTGAGATTCAGCAGATGGTTGAGGAGTCTGAGAAGTACGCTGAGCAGGACAAGGAGCGCAAGGCCGTCATTGAGACTGCCAACCGTGCCGACTCCGTCCTCACCGATACCGAGAAGGCTCTCAACGAGTATGCCGACAAGCTCGACAAGACCGAGGCCGACCAGATCCGTGAGAAGATCACCTCTCTCCGTGAGTTCGTCACCAAGACTCAGTCTGGTGAGAGCACCGCCACCGCCGCTGAGATCAAGGAGAAGACCGATGAGCTCCAGATGGCTTCCCTTAACCTCTTTGACAAGATGCACAAGGCCCGCAACGAGGCTGGCGAGTCCACCTCCAGCACCGAGGGCGAGAAGAAGGATGAGCCCAAGGCCTAAGCGTCTTCTGTCTCTTAATCACTATACCCCACAACATATTTTCCTTTCTTCACATGTCTGATTAGGTTGGAGAGGCTACTCCAGTGTATTCTTGTACTCATATATCTCGGTTTTTCGGAGGCTCGCGAGGCTTATCCGGTGTGTTTATTCATGCAGACGGCGGATGGCGTTTTGAGCATCAAAAAACTTTGGCCTGCTTTTGATTTTTTCACTTGGGGGCAGGAATCATCTTACGAATTCTGACGACTAAGATGGGGTCGGGGAATGGGATGGGAAATTGAGGGAAGGGGTTTTCCCTCTCGGATCACAAAACAAAGAGGGTCGCATTGTGTGTATTTGTATATACACGGTCCACACACGATACCATCAAAATATAATTGGGAAATCCCCCCTCATGTGTACATTAGTTGTTATGGTTTGGAAATGAATGAAGAGAGTTTTCGAATACCAAGTTTTCCACGCGCGAGTTTTGTGTGTTGTCTGTCATGTCGTCTTGGTGTGTCTACCTGTAATCGGAGCAAAAGCTTCTGGAGAGTTGTTTGGTGGATGGGTTCATGTCGTGGACGAGGTGCTTTAGGTCGTCGGGGCGTTCGAGGAAGGTGAGGAGCATGCCTGCTTCCATGTGCCTGTTTGTAAAAAGAAGGGGTTAATGAGGTGTGTGTGTGTAAGGGGGAGTTGGATAGGTAGGTAGGTATGTATGTACCAAGCTACGTGGCAGTGAAGAGCCCAGATACCGGGGTTGTCGGCCAGGAAGCGGATCACGACGTGGGAGAGGCCTGGGATGGTGAGGGTGTCGCGGCGCATGGGGTTGGGGAGGTTCCATGTTGTGTTGGGGTTTGTGCCACCGGAGAACTCGCCTGGGCCCCAGGCTACGATTTGGAAGGTGTGCCCGCTGTTTTTTGGGGTTAGTGATTTTGGTGTTTGGGCTGGGGGGAGGAAGGGGGGAAGTACTGGAGATGGAAAGGGTGCTCCATTATGTCGCGGCTGTTGATTGCTATCTGGACTGTCTTGTTTGGGTCGGGGAGGAGGAGGACTTGTTGGTTGAGGGGGAAGTTGTAGTTGTTGTAGCTGCCGGGGTCGGAGTCGGAGTCAAGGGTCTGGGGGAGGGATAGCCAGAGTTGGGCGCTGTGGGGGAGGGGGGAGTAGGAGGTCTGATATTGCGTAGGTAGGTACCCGGTTAGTCGTCCGTGAGCACTGGAGAAAAACGATGGAAGGGGGGACAACACACCCTGTTGATAAAGATCCTATTCACTGGCCCGGCTTGCTGAAACTGAAAGTTGATCTCGTGGGTGTTTTTCGAGGGGTGTGCCGTGTCTGGTGGGAAGGCGGCCATTTTGCGGATTGGGACGGGGAGGTTGAATGGGAGGTTGGTGCAGTTCTGTGGGATGTCCACCACCGGCTTTATGTTTTGGGGGAGGGATGAGTTGGGGTTTGGGGAGTAGGATAAGAGGGCTGTGCCTTGGTGGTTGACGCTTTCGAGTATTTCGCTCGTGTATGGGACATAAGGGAGGAAACACGATTTTGGTATGGTGGCTCTCATGACGAAAGATCCGGTGGTGGTGGAGTGAATTGGGGAGACGAGGACGGAGTACCGCTGGCCGATGTTGAGATGAATTCCTGGAACGGTGATCGGCTCGACTTCTACCCCGTCGATCTCGATGATGGTCAGGTAAGGGTGGGAGTCAATTGTGAAGTAGAGGGATATGAAGGAGGAGTGGTTGATTAAGCGGAGGCGGGTGGTGGTGTTGGGCATGGGGGTGGCGAACTGCCTGCTGGAGGGTTCACAGATCGGGGGCATGAATGATAGCCAGGTTGACGAGGTGAGGTTGCAGTTTGTGAAGGCGGCGAGGCCGTTGATGAGGATGACGTCGGGAAGGGGTTCGACGCCTGGCATTGACGGGGACCATGCTGAGGAGGGCTGGAGGTAGCTTTCCAACAGGTCCTCCCCGTAGGCGTGGAAGCTGCCTCCCATGAAGACTATTCTTTCTGCCGCGATGTCGACGTCAGGGGGCAGTCTCTCGTCTGGGTCGTGGACTACGATCGGTCCGTAGAGGCCGTCGGTGTATTGAACTTTGGAATGAGCGTGATACCAGAACGTGCCTCGCTGGTCGATGATCTCAAACTCGTATGTGAAGCTCTTGCCGGGTGGTATCGCACACTGAGATATCCCTGCCACGCCATCCATCCAAGTGGTGTTTCGTTGATGGATCCCATGCCAGTGTATGGTCGTGCTTTCGTCCCAAATGAGATTGTTGACCTTGACTCTCACAATATCACCCGTGTTGACCTCGATAAGCGGCCCTGGACTTTGCCCATTGACGAGCACCATCTTCTTCCACACCCCTGACGGAGCCCCCCGCCTGCGAGTGACATCAAACTCATATTCCCTCAGCCTCTGCTTCCCAGACTCGACCTTGAAACCGGTTTGCAAATTGAGCTCAGTGGTGTTCACCAGTTTATCCAGTGGTATAGAGCTTGATAGCTTCCACGCTGCCATGATGAATGCCATGATGAATGTCAGTAAGAAGACTAGAAATGCCCATACCAATACCCATCCAACCCCTAACAGGATTCTCCGACAAATAAGTAGCCACGTCGCCGCTGCTGGTTGTTCCTCTCTCGATGTCGATAGTTCATGGCCGGGTGTTTGCAGCTTCGAGTACTCATCGGCATCATGTTTCTCGTCCTCCACTGAAGAAATCGAGTCCCTGCCGGCATAGTTTAAATCGCGGTCCTTTTCACTGTCGAAAATGATGTTGGAAGCGGAAGGGCGCAAAAGACTTTGAGCATCGTTTCCCGACATGTTGAAACCAATCACCGGAGATCATAGCATTCACGAAAAACGGCTTGTCAACTGGAAAGAAATGCCTTCTCAATTTCTCTTGAAGAGACACATGGTCATGGTATTGTCATCATCTACCATCCCTAGGTCAGCGAGCGCGACGCGAGGAATGCGCTCCCGCCCTGTTTGGCGTTATCGTTCTATCAAAATCGCTAGGCCATGCATGTTCCTTAAATCACCTTCCAAAACCAAACCAGCCCCTCTTCTGCGGCTTTGCTTCTGGTTCTGGCTCCTTCTCGGTCCCCTTGCTCTTATCCTGAACAGCAGCCGCTGGGCGTTGTTGTTGTTGTTGTTGTTGTTGTTGTTTGGCGGGATACTCGATGTAGTTCCACGCAACATCCAAAAACAGGGGCTTGACAGGGATAGGCTCAAGTTGAGGAGGATAAGTGACAATGTTGTTCAGATCGACACCGCCTGTTGGGTAGTTGAAGAGCCGGGAAGACAGCGGTTTACCAGCGCCGCCGGTCTGCGAAGCACTCGCCGACTTGTTCAAGCTGTGAATCTCAACCAGAGCGCGGGACCGTTGAAGCTCCCCACCGAGAATGTCTCGGAGCAACCCAGCGTGTTGGTTCGTGACTTGAATGTTCCTTGGCGCTGGCTTGCCATCATCACTGCCAGACAGAGCTGGAAGGGCGGCGGTACACTGATCAAGCGCATGCTTGACCAAGGCAAGTGCGTTGACGGTATTTCCAGCAATGGCATGAGATCTGGATATTGCGAGGCACCTTTGGGTTATGTTAGCTTTCATTGAAAAATTGAACCGGCACTGGATACTCACTTAAGAGCGGTAAAGTATTGCGATGTGGCCTCGAGCTGAGCGGAAAGCTCCTGGTCGTTTGCAACACCAGGCAGCTCCTTGATAGACTCGACACTCTGAAGGATACCGTCGTACAACACGACCTTCTCCTTCAACTTGGCAATCTGTCTGCCAGGGGTGAGATCTCTGCCCTTTTGCTCGAGAGCCTCCTCGGCTTGCTCTTGCTTTTGCTCTTGCTTCTTCTTTTTCTTGCTAGGGGCACTAAAGTCCAGCCACGCTCCATCGTCCTGACCAATCAAGGCACGGTTGCGTCCAATGCGCCAGCTGATCATTTCGTAATTGACAGCAGTCCTGGTGATCTGGAGGCTCTGCATGCGAGAATCGCTCTGTGGGACACCCTCAGACTTGAGCTCATCAATGGCCTGCTTGGTAGCATCGACAGCATCCTGGCTTGTCACCAAGATATCATCATATGCCCCAGCTAGCTCTCTGGGAGCCAAGGACCCGGCTGACGACAGCTTGTCAGCCAGCTTTGCCTTTTCCGCACCCACCGCAGCCCAAGCAATAGCGATTGCAGCGTCCTCAATCTTGACGTCACGTCCACGCCAGGTGAGCGTTGCAGGAGCGCCTCCAGCTCCCTGCTTCGCATCCGCATCACCGTGTTGCAAAACGGCGGGATTCTGTTTCTCAATGTGCGCCGCGAGCTCTGGGCCAGCATGTTGGAAGTACTTTAGCGCAATTTCGGCAATGGGCTGCGTCCGTGGGATCTGGGCTTGGTAGGCAGCATACCGAATCGACGGGTCGATGGTTTCGGACAGGAGGTCTTTGAAGATGTCGTTTTTGGCCGAGGTAGAAAGCGCACTGTAGATGATACGGGCGACGGAGTAGCTCTTCAGGCAAGGCTCCCAGTGCTGTTTCTCAAATAGCGCAGCACCCCTGAGCAAAGCAGCATATGCGCGGGCCTCGAGGATGTCGACAGAGCTCGCGCCGCTCGCGGTTTGGGTGAGGACTTCGGCCAGCTGTTTGGCAGTTCGAGCTCCCTTTTCCAGACGAGAAACAATATGCGACCGGGTCTTTCCACCAATGCCCTTCGTCTCAACCGAGTGCGCCGCCTTGACGGCCATGGCATCGGCCCATGTTCGTTCGGCTGTCAGAAGCTGGAGGTGGATATAGCTGACAGGCAGTGGGAAGTTAGCAATGTAATGATCGCAGTTCAACATGGAGAGTCAATGGCATACTCATGGTCCTCGGCAACCTGTTCAGCAGTGACCTGGTTCCTGGGGTGAAATGTGCCCCGTTTTTTGGTCGCAATGTTCAGCTTCTTGCGGCAGTTGAGTATCTTTTTGGAGAGCGAGGTATGGTAGGTAGAGTAGTCGCCGTAGAGAAGGGCCTTCTCCCGGTGGGAAACGACAAACTTGGTGATATCCATCCCGGCTGTCCCTGTCGTCGATGTCGCCGTTGTTGTGACTTGTGTTGAGGCTCTGGCCCAGGAGGTAACGGGTAACGGTGTTAGCACCGACACAGGAGTGGGGCTATTTTTGACATCGACTTGGGCTCCCACGCTGTGGATTTTAGTTTGTGCCCCGCAGTGTGTGGTCCAAGCTCCCAATGGTAACAGCCCCCGTACCGTACCGTATTTCGGGTGCTCCCCCACTAGAAGCTTGCGCCGAACATCAGCCCAGTGAGCTGCTGCGTGCTCCACCCCAGTTCAAGATGGTTGACAGCGCCATCCAAATTTTTTGACGACTTTTTTGGAGAACGACGCCACATTCAAACACCCACCGTCCGTCCCTACCTCGATTCCAGCACCAGCCCTCTGTGCTGCGACCTCCCCGGCCCTCCAATTTGCAATTTTTCTTAGGACCAGTCCTGGGGATACGCCCTTCTCAACATGACGTATCGCGCAGGAGCGCAGTTTCTTCCTCACCACCACGAAGTATAGATACAACTGGTTTCGGCTTCGATTAACCCCCGACGAGCCCCGACAAGACGAACTGTTGGTTGTAGGGCTGTGGATGATGTGCTCAGACCCTCGTGGGGTTTTGGATCCGAGACAGAGTTGACACCTGCGACGATGCTAGAGAGGGCGGCGACTACCCTCGAGCCGTGCAGCAGCCTCCAACGAATTCTCCCCTCCGCCAGACATTGCTTGCAGACCCGCCGCCAGCTCCATACGGCATTTTGGCAGCATGGAGCCTACGACTTTGAGCTTTTCGATGCGTGCCAGGCCATCCTGCGCGCTCCTCGGTCCGAACCTGCCCCGACCCGACCTTCGTCCAGAAACAAGCAAACTCCGGAGCCCATGATGGCTTCGGTATTCTTGCTCGACTTCCTGTACCCGAGGGGTGCCGTGGCTATGCTACGGAGGATGTATCCGGTCTTGCCGAAACGACTCGAACCAATAGCAAAGGTCCACCAGCCATTTTCTCGGCTGTTCATGTCTTCATATCAGGACCGAAATCAAGGGCCACCAAGCTCCCAGGTAGGCGCCCGAGGGCCGCCAAACCAGACGCAGACGGAGTATTACGAGGAGGATGGGGAGGCAGAGTTTCAGGCGCCGAGCTGGGAGGAAAATGATGCAGAGGTCTGGACTTTGGAAGACTACAAACGACTCCCAGCTGTCGAGCGACTGGAAGTTTTCATTGACAACAAAACATTCGCTGAAACTATGAGAGAATTTGGGAGACTTTCGCTGAGCTGAGTCCGGAGGTGCAGATGCACTTTCGACCAAAAGTCATTCGCGCATTGGCAACCTCGGCCCGCCCCTTGGAAGCGTGGAGGGTTCAGGAGTTGTTTGCGGTGTATGATGTAGAGGAGTGGACAGAGGAGAATGTTTTGGCCCAGATACGAGCAGACCTCGTTACTGGAAACCTGACCTCGGCTCTTGCGGTTTTCAAGGCTGGGTTGGAGCTGCATGGCTATGGTCAACCTCTCGACTTGCTCGTTGCGTATGGCATCTCGGCCAATAACTGGGACTTGGTGATGAAGGCTTGGAGAATGTACACTGAAGTTTTCACAACTGGTGTTGATGTGCCTGTTGCCTGGTTATCGCTGCCAGCCGAGCCCGCCATGAGTGGTGGAACCCAGGTCAACCGCTCAGGCGAGTTTTCTGCCGATCTACTAGCTGAAGCTCCCACAAATACGGTTCATCAGGGTGGTGATGTTCCCGCCTCAATGAGACCGGGCAGTGGGCTGTGGAACTACGTTTCTACACCCGCCGTGAAGTATACCCAGCTATCCACGATATCAGACCTGCCTGCTCGAATTCGACACCATTTTGCAAAGCTCTCCAAGGCACATCAAAAACTGCCCAAAGAACAACGGCCTTTGAGAGGGCTATTCCGGCATGTGGCGAGGAACTCATTGCATCTATTTCAGCCTACAGTTGCCGAGTTGATTCTGGATCATGCTGCGGATTCAGCGTCCTACGAAGCGTACATCGTCCATCTCGCAGAGCAAGGCCGGGTGAAAGAGGCCGAGCAGCAGTACATGAGATATAGATCTCTGAAAGATTTGAAACCACGGGCCGCCGTCTTGCATGCCATAGTGCCCGCCTATTACCCCGACCATGTGCAAGGCATGGAACGTTTGCGCGAGGATTGGTACCGGGGCTATCCACACCCAGATGAAGTGGCATACAAAAAGTTCCTCACATACTACGCCAAGAGGGGCGATCTAAGGTCTTTTATGAACATGACCAAGGAATATGAGGAGCACTACGATCCCAATCTCCAAAAAGACCCCATGTATGTTCGAACACTCATGCATGCCCATGCGGTACGTGGAGACCCCGATTCTGCTCGGCTCGTCATGGAGGATGCTGCCGAGACTTTGGGCTACCAGCCTGGTCGCATGGAGCAGAATATCTTGTTGAAGGCTTACTACAATGAGGGTGACTACGATGCCGCTCTCGATCTCTTCTCACGCATGTGGGAGATGAACAATGTGGATCAGTACGCTCTGACGACAGTGATGAAGAACGCCGGCTGGAGAGGTGATCTTTCCTTCGTTCTCGAGCTTTTCGCAATGGCCAAGGAACGCAACATCCCCTTCTCGCTTACCATGATGACCTGCTTGGTTGAGGCCTATTGTAAAAACGATCGTTATAGCGAGGCCGAAAATCTTGCTATCGACATCACAAAGGAGAACAAGCTCGAAGGGGACTATGTTCACATGTGGAACTTGCTCATCCGTTTCAACGCCAAACGTCGAGATTTGTCGGCCGTCAACCGCCTTTTGGGGGCCATGTCACAGCGAAATGTCACGTACAACCAAGACACATACAGCGGCCTTCTCCTGACTCTTCTCTACTGCCGCCAAGCACACCACGCCATGCATCTGCTCCACGTTGCCCGGACGCAGAGTGGCTTCGAACCGACTGCTCACCACTACACGCTTCTCATTGCCGCCTTCATGTACAGTGGCGAACCGATCATGGCGCAAAAGATTCTCAAGATGATGAAGGACATGAACTTTCCCCAGTCAGCCAAGCTCATGGCGACTGCCATCAGCGTCCTCAGCAGATACGAGGATATCCCACCAGCCTTGAGACACGAGAATGATGCCCGTGGCTATCTCAGAAGAGCACTGAATTACTTCTACCAGGTCCTCGACCTGGAGAGAAAGGGCTCTCCCGACGCGCGGCGTGACATGATCAACATCTACTCCAAGATGACCTTTGTCCTGACCCAAATGCGGCGGTTCACCACCATCAAGGACATCATCGCCCTTCACAATGCGCGATGGCCGCGGCAGTCGACCTTGCAGAAAGTCCCGCTCAAGCTGCTCCACGACATCATGCTGGCAGACTTTCACGAGGGGAACTATGACCGACTGCAAGAGACGTGGGATATCATCCTTGAGCGCACGGTCAAGCGCGGCATGTCGGTCATGGCTCAGGCGGGTCCGATGTCTCAGGAGGATCAAAAGGTCATGGTGGCGCAAAAGTATAGGTTGTGCGACCCCCTCAAGACGATGCAGAGGTTTTATCTCGAGAGTGAGGATGCTGATGGGCTTATCAACCTCATTGACACTGTCAGGGCGAAGGGGTTTGAGCTCGACAGCAAAAACTGGAATTACTACGTCCAGGGTCTTGCCAGGCTGAAGCGGTGGCGATTAGCCTTTTCGATTTGCGAGGATAGGTTGATGGGTCAGTGGCTTGGCTGGCAGACGGACAGGGCGGCGAATATGGAGATGTGGAAGCTACCTGTGGAGGTGAGGCGGTTGGCTAGCGATCCGAAGAGGCCGAGGCCGATTGCGCACACGCTGTTTATTCTTGCGAAGGAGTATATGGACCTGGAGAAGATCACGCCCTGGTCGAATGATGCGTTGAGGGAGTTTAGGTTGATCAAGAAGAGCGCGCCGAGGGTGGTGCAGGCTATCACGAACATTGCGGCGGGGCATCCGTTGGAGAGGGAGATTTTTGGGGATGATGAGGGGTATAGGAGCCGGTTGAAGTATGTGCCTCCGCCGCTGGAGAGGAGGAGGAGGAGGAGGAGGGAGTTGGTCGGGGAGGAGGGGGAGGAGGAGATGAGGGAGAGGAAAGCGGAGGCGCAGAAGGCTGCGCTGGCGAGGCAGCAGGCCATGATTAGGAGGATGGCGGAACGGATTGCTGCTGAGCAGGTTGCTAAAGAGCAGGCTGGGGAGGTTGAGTGGGAGGAAAGAAATGGGGAGGAGGTGGAGGAGGAGGGGGAGGATGAGTACTAAAATGGGTGGTGTATGATATGGATGGGAGGGGAGAGGTCTGTATACTATGTGTATATCTTGCATTTTGTACATATCCAAGAGAGGGCGGTGGGGCGTCTGCATGATGTTTATGGTTTTTTGAAGGTCGGTATATTCTTTTTTTGGTTATGATGGTGGGCTGGTACATGATGACTCTACTCGAAGAAGCTCTTGAACATGTAGACAAGTCTCATAGAAGGAGGATAGGTAGGTACATGGGCAGGTGAAAAATTAGACTTGAACATAGTAGTGGTGTAATTACCTGTATAAGCGTTTACTGCATATTTGCCTGCCGGAATTATCCGGACTTTTTTGCAGAGTGGGTCATCACTTTATGCCACATTCAACCTGCTTTCTCTTCCCTGTCCGACCGCGTGCGTGGTTGACTGATGGCTGCGACTCGACGCGACAAGTGGTTGCTTGCCAAAAAAAGAAAAAGTAATTTGCTGGAGGGACATCGAACATTGACAACGACAACGACAACAACAACAACAACAAGAGCGCAAGCATTTTACCCAACTCTGAACGGAGTGACTTTTCGGTCAGATTTTCGATTGAGCAAAAAAATTAAAAGCATACACTTTTTTCCCCCCGGAATACCTGGGCAAACTATTCTCAGAACCAGAGCAAACAACCAACTACCACCACCACTTGCGTAAAACCGAACCAGCAACACCACACCCACGGCGCAAACTGGGGATAGGAGACACGATGTTGTTCCCCGAAGAACACGAAAACGACCTCAAACTCTTCCTCGTCCAAAAGATCGAAAAGACGCCCGACGCTGACGAGGTCGACGCGGAGGTGCTCGCGGATTATGTCCTTGCTTTGCTGAAGCATGATGGGGATGTGGAGAGTGTGAGGCAGACTTGCGTGGCTAGTTTGCCTGATTTTCTTGGGGAAGGTTTGTTTCTTTTTTTTTTTCCTTTTTTTTTTTTTTGGCTCAGGGAATGTATGGCGGGAACTGACAAAGTTTGGATGACAGGCACGCAGCAGTTTGTCGACGGGATTTTAGAGGCGATTACGTTCAAGACTTATCTTCCGAATGCGCTTCCGCCACCACCACCACCGCCGCCGATGACGGGGTTGTTGTACGATGATGATCAGGCTGGGAATGGGTATCTACGACAGGCGCAAGCGGCGGGACAACAGAATAATGGGTTTGGGGGAGGGGGAGGGGGGAACAGGAAGAGGGGGTATAATGATCTGGATAGCCCTGCGACTGGGGCGGAGGCTTATCATGCCCGGGCTTTTAAGCAGCCCAGACGGGGGAGTGCTGGGAGGGGGTTTGAGCAGTCGCTGCCGGGGTCGAGTGGTGGTGGATTCGTGGATCCGGAGTATGCGGCCAAGTTTATGTTTAATGTGTTGAATCAGCCCGAGTTTATGGCCGCTGCTGCGCAGAATGGAGGTGGAGGTGGGAGTGGGGGGAGGAACAAGAAGAAGAAGAGGGCGCCAAAGTGTAGGGATTATGTCAACAAGGGGGTTTGTCCCAGGGGGTTCAACTGCAGGTTTGATCACTCGAGTGATGATCCGGCGGGTTTTGGTGGGGGTGGGGGGTTTGGGCAGGTAGAAGGTATGTTGAACGGGGCAGTAGGGCAAAGAGTTGTGGGAAGGTTGCTAACTTTGTGATAGAATACGATCCAGCTAATGCCCTCATGACAAACATGTTTCCGCAGCCGGGTGCTGGCCTTCCAGGGATGCCTTCTTTCGGCGAAATGTTTGCTCAGAGCCAGCCGAAACAGCACAACAACTCCCACCGGTCTAAGGGGCAGGGTGGGAACCGCGGCGGTCGCCAAAAGCGAGGTGGTGGGGACAGATCAACTTTCTCAGCAGAGGGACCAGTAAGTGATCGGACCAAGTCGACCATCGTGGTGGAGAGCATCCCAGAGGAAAACTTTGACGAGGATCAAGTTAGAGACTTTTTCAGCCAGTTTGGGAACATCCTCGAAGTGAAGATGTATCCATATAAGAGACTGGCCGTGGTCAAGTTTGACTGCTGGGAGGCTGCCAATGCGGCGTACAAGTCGCCAAAGGTCATCTTTGAGAACCGATTTGTGAAGGTGTTCTGGTTTAAGGACGAGGAACAAATTGCGCCACCTCCTGGGAAACAGGGTGGTGGTGTGAATGGGGGTGCCTCTGGGCAAGGGGGAGAGGCACCACCGGAGAATGTGCCGCTGACCGAGGAGCAGTTGGAGGAGATTAGGAAACGGCAGGAGGAAGCGCAGAAGGTATTTGAGGAGAAGATGAGGAAGAGGGAGGAGTTAGAAAGAAAGCAGAAGGACATTGATGAGCGGCAGAAGGAGCTTCTTGCTGCCCAGGAGGAATTGAAGGCGAAGCTGGCGAAGAAAGGGGAGGGTGTGGGGGATGGGGAAGGTGAGGGTTCGACGTCAAAGCAGCCTATGACGCAGTCAGAAGCTCTGAGGGCTCAATTGGCTCGGTTGGAGGAGGAAGCTAGGCAGATCGGGCTCGATCCCCATGCCGAAATGGATGCGGAGGAAGGGTTAGAGGCTAGCTGGGGTGCTCCGAGAGGGGGTTACTATGGCCGTGGAAGGGGGGCTCCGTGGCGAGGAGGCTTTGTTCCTCGGGCTCGCGGATTTGCGTCGAGAGGGTTCCGGGGGGGTTTTCGTGGGAGAGCCGACGTTCACGCGGCTTATGCGGCTTATTCGCTTGATAACAGACCAAAGAGGGTGGTGGTTTCGGGTGTGGATTTCACAGAGGGCCAAAGGGACGAGGTGCTTCGGCAGTATCTCTTTGTGAGTTTTTACCTCTTCTCATCTGTCTGTCATCTTATTAACATGACAATCCAGGGCGTTGGCGAATTCACCCACATCAACCACAGCTCCAGCCCCCCAACAACCGAAATAACCTTCAAGGACCGCAAGACAGCCGAGAAGTTCTACAACAGCGTCAGCCTCAACGATTACACCATCCCCGAGATCGAAGGGCAGGTCGAGTTGTCATGGGCTAGTGCCTCATCCTCTTCGACGGCACTGTCGACGCCTACGGCAAGCGGGTTCAGCCACGTCAATGGTGTCGTTACGAATAAGTCCACCGGGGTCACCGCTCAGAACGGTGATGAGGACGGACATGATCAGGATCATGATGGGGAGAGTGTCGATGACGATAGGGACGTCAGGATACTGCTTGACCATCAGCCGGAGCAAGAGAAGGATAAGGACAGGGAGCAGAATGAGATGGATTATGAGGTTGCTGATGATGCGGATCAGTGGTATTAGCACTACCACCGTTCTGGAAGATAGGCGGGTGTCTCATTGGGGGTGGCAGAGGGGGATAAGGGGGCTGAGGGTGTTGTGAATTCATGTATATATTATTGGGGTAGGGTTGTTGGATAATTGCTTGGTATGCATGATGGGGTTGGAGTGGGTTT